GGAATCAAATAAGCAACATTCACTGAAGGACTTACTGAGGGACTGAACAAATAAGGAACTGGAAGTTGGAATTCCCCAGCTGGGTGGGAAGGGTGAAAAGTGAGTAAGCAGGTCTAAGAGGAATAATTGTTGGGTCTAGGCGCCTAAGGAAATCAAGGGCCTCACGTGCTATTGTGGTGGAATCTCAAACACAGGGTGAAACTGTAAGTGTGGAGAACTCTTCTAGGTTTCCTGGAGGGGTGGGATTGGGGAAGGAGTCATGGGGTACTAACCAGAAAGGGAAAAGAATTGTTCCAGACTATGGTTTGGTGTTGGTGGTGATAGGAAAGAATTGAATGTCTCTCCCCTCACTCTCTGTCCCTTAAGTACACTCTGGTGTACTTTAGCCCTTTATATTCATCATGGCCGTCAACAATACGGTCTCAGTTCTTCATCTGCGAAATCAGGTAAATCAGAACAAAACGATCTCTAATTTTCTTCTAATGCTAAACATTGTGATTTAGAATTTAAGCAGCTAGGTAACATAGTGGATAGAGTGTAGGGATTTGGAGTCTGAAAGACCTGAGTTGAAATACTGCTTCAGACACACACACTAGCTGTGTGATACTGGACAAGTTTTTTTTAACCCCTTTCAGCCTCAGTTTCATCATCTGTAAAATGGGGCTGAAAATAACACTGTCTCACAGAGTTGTTATGAGGATCAGACAAGATAATATCTGTGTGATGTGTCTTAAATATTATTATAATGATCCTGTGAGAAAAAAATGGAGCAAAGGCACTGGAAAAACAATAAAAGGAAATATTGGGTCAACCACTTCTCCTTCCTTCCTCTTTCTAATAGAAGAGAGCTTTTGCCCATTCTGAAAAAATGTCTATGTTGCCTTTTATTTTTAACATTTTGATGGATGTAGTTTATTTTACAACATTCAAGCTATAAGCAAGAATCAAAGATAGAATAAACAAAAACAACAACAAAAAAGAACCCCTCTAAATGGTTCAACAAAACCGCACAAAAAGGTGATAGTCATGATGACATTGGCATTGTACGCTCCTGTTATTTATTGTCAAAAGAAACAAAGACTGTGCGTGTTAACTTTTTACAAGGTAGTACCAACTTTGTGCATAGCCTTTAACATGAATTTTCTTTTTTGTCACTTTAAATATTTTATTTTTTTTCAATCACATGTAAACAATTTTACCATTAATTTTTAAAAATTGTAAATTCCAAATTCTCTCCTTCCCTCTTTCCCCTCCCCCTTCGTTGAGAAGGTAAGCAAATTGATATAGGTTATACATATGCAATCACGCATATGTATTAGTTTTGTTGCAAAAGAAAACACAGACCAAAAGGAAAAAAAAAAAACAAGAAAAATAAAGTTTAAAAAAGTATGCTTCAATCTGCATTCAGGCTCCATTAATTCTTTCTCTGAAGGTGGATAGCACTTTTGATCATGAGTCCTTTGGTATTGTCTTAGATCATATTGCTGAAAATAGCCAAGTGATCTCCTTCCCCTGCCCACTATTTTATAGATGAGGAAAGGTTAAGTGATTTGCCTGATGTCACATAGGTAGCTTGTGGAAGACACAGTATTTGAACTCTAATCTTCTAGTTTTAAATCTGTCACTCCTTTCTATCGTACTGCTACCGATTCTTTTTGGTCAGCATCTTTATTTACATAGGCTGAGTCAGTGTCTATTCTGAATTTCAACTTTCTTCGCTCTACATTATTTCATGCTTTCCCATTTTTTGTTTTTATATTTTTTATTCCTTGTGGTGCTATAATATTTAAATATATTAATATCCTACAATTAATTCAGCCACTTTTCAATCTATAGATACCTTATTTCTTCATCTTTGCAGTTTCAAATAGTGCTGCAAAAAAAATTTTTTTGCACAGATAGGTATTTTCTTCCTGTTGATGCCTCAATATCATTAGTATAATATTAGTATAATTAATATAAGTATAATTATGGGATCACTAGGTCCATGTACTCTCTCTCTCTCTGTGTATATATATATATAATGTATATACATACATACACATATATGTGTATGCATATATATATGCAGAGAGAGAAAGTTAAGCTTATAATTCATAACTATGCTCAACTACTGAAAGTCAAGATGCACACAAAGTATCTGCTTTGAAATAACTTTCTCCATCTCTTCTACTCCTTTCATAAGACTGAGTTGAGGGGCAACTAGGTGGCGCAGTGGATAGAGCACCGGCCCTGAAGTCAGGAGGACCCGAGTTCAAAACCAGTCTCAGACCAAACACTTGACACTTACTAGCTGTGTGACCCTGGGCAGGTCACTTAACCCCGATTGCCTTAAAAAAAAAAAAGAAAAAAAAGAGTGAGTCGACTAAAACGGTTGAAATATCACATCTTAGGTCTGTGACCCTCCTTTCTTTGTTTGTTCCTGCCACTCTATAACAACATATCCTAAGAGAGGGAGATTTAGATTTGTGAGGAATGCTCTTTGAGTCTTGTTCTCTTTAACATCTCCAGTATTTCTCTCTCATGAGCACGATCCTTGCTGTCATCTACCTAAAGTGATCATCATTTAGAGTCTCTATTGCATTTGCCATGCTTTATTCACAGAGTCTGACGTATTTTTACGTAATTTTTAGACTAAAATTCAAAAAGGAACTGGGTCACTAGCAGCACCAAGAAAGAATGACCAGGCAGTGGCCACCACGGAGGGAGGGCAACAGGAGGAACAGGAGGAGGAGGATCAGCAGTAGCTCAAGTTCATCCAGAACCCAAAGGCAATGGTCTACTACGCAGTGGGCTTGATGTGCCAGGAAGCTGCCAACGCCGAAAGGGTGAAATTCAGCAAGCTGGCCATCAGGCCATTTCTGAGGTCGCCTTTCAGCCTTTTCAGTCTTTTTTTGCCAGAGACTTTGAGATATTTGCCAGACGTGCGAAAAGAAGCACAACTAACATGGAAGATATGAAGCTCTTGGCCAGGAGAAGTAACTGGTGTCTTGCTACTGAACTATGATGACTCTGGAGGAGAGAGCGAGGCTAATGACTTTGCAGTGCTCTGCCTCACTCAATTCCAACTCACACACAAGTCAAGACATCATGAATGTGATGACATCAGTCCTCTTCAAAAAGAAAGGACGAACAACAACATGTGCTCTAGGGTCTAAACAAAAAAAAATTAATTTTGCTTTATTTGTTCTTTAAAATCTCATCTCAAATACTTTCTCTTTTATGTAGCCTTGACTGTGTTCTCTAGACTAGTATTTTTTAAAAATTCTCTAAGGCCTTTCTTAACATCATATTGTGTATTACAGCTATCAGTGTTGGTATCTTGTATCCTCTACTATGTTCCATAAGGGCAGGGATTATGTCTTATTTAAACTTTGTGCCTTGGCTAAAATGCAACAAGTGTACTGCATGCACTAGTACATATTACAGTGATATTTTGTTTGTTATTCTGTAATGATTGTTAATGTCAGTTGGACCAGAACCGGCCTCTAACCTGTGGATGGCTGGAGCCAAACAGACAGAGAAGTCTAGAGACAGGAGAGTCAGGACACAAAGAGAAGTTTAGTTAATTTCAGAGTGGGGAAAATGACATACGCATATGGAAGCCCTGCTGCTAAGGTTAGGGCCACTTACATACATGAAAAGGCTGGGACCACAACACAATCACTCTTAGATTGTGAGATAGTTCTCATGGTTGGCATTTCTTGGAACAATACAGGCATTCTTGGGTTCCATGAGAACAGTCACCATCTCAAGTCTTAGGGGTCATGGTCACCCTGCCAGATACAGAACCAAGAGTATAGTACCTATCAGTGACAAGGAACAGGGATTGTGAATATGTGATGGATGGGCCTGGTGCTGGTCCCAGCCATATGCTTTGGCAGAGGGGGATATCATACTGAGTGCAAAGGATTAGTTATGCCAAGCTCAGGACACAGCCTGCTCACTGGGCCATAGCTCTGGAAAATAGTATATTTCCAAAATATTTTGACAGTATAAAATTAAGATTTTTCAATCTTAAAAAATTAGATTGAGAAAAAAATCATAGCCTAGCATGTTGTCTCATTTTCCTCAACTATGAAACACACGGGTTGAATTACATGTTAGGGAGAAGAGAAAACAAGAATTTACTAAGCACCAAGTACTTTACAAATATCTCATTTGATACTCACAACAATCTTATGAGATAGGTACTAATATCCCTATTTTAACTTGAGGAATTAAAGACAGTTTTAGAGACTTGCTCAGTACTGCATAGCTAGTAAGTATCTGAGGCCATATTTGAACTCTAGTCTTCCTAATGCTAGAAACAGCATTCTATCCCCTCTGCCAACTATTCTTTCACCTCTAATGTGTCAGAATTGAAAGTGGGGCTTAGAGATTATTTATCTCAGTGCCTTCTCTAAAATGAGGTGATCATCAAGGACCTGGCCAGCAGCAAATATTAAAATTTAGTCCAACTTCCTCATTTTACAAAGGAGGAAAATAAGGCTCAGAGAGGTGATGACTTTGTCATTTTGCAGGAAGGTCAATTTGTTGTTTTCGTTTGTCCTTTGTTCTCCAAGAGGACCATGCCATCATGGAGGTGATGCCTTGACATGCAAGTGAAGTGAATTTAAGTGAAGGACAGCTGTGCAAAGTCGCCAGCCTCACTTTCCTCTCAGAAGCCATCTGGGTCCAGTGGCAAGATATAGACAAGGAGGACTGGAGATGGCCCTCAATTAGAAGCCAGAATCTTGATTCAAGGCAGAGGTGGAGGATGGATAGACGACGGTGTATAGGAGGTACAAGACCTGCAGTCAAATATTTACTACATGTCTAATTATACTCAGAAGCAACCTCAAGATGAACCTTTCATGATCTCTCTCTCTCTCTCACACACACACACACACACACACACACACACACACACACACACACAC